CTTAGAATTATTATCAGATAAAAACCAATGGAGCCTTTCCTTATTTTCTTTATATGGCCAGGGAAATGACCTTCACACGAAAGTGCTCCTATCCCAAATCAGAGAAATGGTCTTTCTAATGCAGCATAGTCTGCTTCATCTGGCAGGGTCTCTTTAGGGCCTCCACCAAAGATCAGGTCTTTCCCCCAAAACTGCTGATACCTTTTAATTGAAGGTGGCAGGAACTGAACTGGGGATCTTTTTGGCTTTTGAAGCAGGTCGTCTACCACTAAGCTGTACCCTCTCCATACTCAGCTTTAATGAAATCTGCATTGCTTCCTTCAGATCTGTGCACATTTACCTGGAAAGTAATAGTGGCTGCGGTCACACGGAACATTAGCCACACCAGAGAGACGGAAGATAGGCGGATTTTCCGGGCACGAATCTCACCGGCACATCTGGGAAGCGTAGCGCTCCCGTGGCTCAACCGAGGCTTCCCGCCAAAGACGTGCGGCAAAAAACTAGTACCTTGGAGGTACTAGTTTCCGGAAACCACTGGGCAAGGGCGTGTGCGTGATCGCGTTCACGGTGGAATCCCGTGGCATCTGGCGCCCGCCCATGTCCCGTCACAAGCAGGGTTTTTTTCCCAAGTCCCCACAGGATGCACACCAGCATGCAACCGCGCATGCTGGGTTTCACTCATCCGATTCATGTGCATGCACGAAGTTCGATGGGGAAAAAAACAACCCGGTTTGCCACGGAAGCGGCGCCGAGCGATTGCTGGCGTGATCGCGCCGTGCTGCTTCTTTGCCGCGCTGCAGGATGGTCATGTGATTGGCACCTCCCCCATGACCACAGAACCTTGACGGGACCTCGAGGGGAGGTATGATCGCGCAACCGCGCGTTATTTTGCTCCGGGGCAAACAGCCACGCTTCCCCCCATGTTTTCCTGCCCGTGTGACCGGGACCATACTAAAGTTTTGATGTCCTCCAACAGCATGCAGTAAAAACGTTGTTAACCAGACCACTTGGTTCACTGCCATATGGGAAGGGCTGTGGCTCAGTGGTAGAGCATCTGCTTGGCATAGAATCATAGAGTTGGAAGGAACCTCCAGGGTCATCTGGTCCAACCCCCTGCACAATGCAGAAAATTCACAAATACCTCCCCCCACACAAACCCTCAGTGACCACTTTTCCACACCCAGAAGACGACAAAAAACCTCCAGGATCTCCAGCCAAACTGGCCTGGAGAAAAATTGCTTCCTGACCCTAAATTGGCGACCAGCATTTCCCTGGGCATGTAAGAAAGGACCACAAGAACCCTTCCCGCCCTCCCTCTCAGGATCTGCCTAAGTTCACAGAACCAGCATTGTTGTCAGAAGGCCATCTAGCCTCTGAAAACCTCCAAAGAAGGAGAGCCCCCCACCTTCCGAGGAAGCCTCTTCTACTGAGGAACCACTCTGACTGTCAGACTTCCTAATGTTTAGCCCAAAGCTCTTCTGATTTAATTTCAACCCATTGGTTCTGGTCTGACCTTCTGGGGCAACAGAAAACAATTCTGCAACATCTTCTGTATGACAGCCCTTCAAGTACATGAGGATAGTTATCATATCACCTCTCAGTCATCTCCTCTCCATTATGCAGAAGGTCCCAGGTTCAATCCCAGGGGTCTCCAGCAAAAAGGATCAGGTGGTAGCTGATGTGAAAGACCTCTCCTTGAGACCATGGAGGACTCTGGCTGTTGCCAGTCTGAGAAGACAATACTGACCTTGATGAACCAACCATCTGATTCAGCATTAGGACGGTTCATGCGTAACTCAACTGAAAGCCAGTTTGGTACAGTGGTTAAGTGCATGGACTTTAATCTGGGAGAACCGGATTTGATTCCCCACTCCTCCACTTGCACCTGCTGGATGACCTTGGGCAAGCCATAGTTCTGTCAGAGCTGTTCTTTGAAAGAACAGTTCTCTCAGAGCTCTCTCAGCCCCACCTACCTCACAGGGTACCTGTTGTGGGGAAGGGCAGGGAAAGGAGTTTGTAAGCTGCTCTGAGACTCTGAGTGAAGGGCGGGGTATAAATCCAATCTCCTCCTCCTCCTCCTTCAGTGCACCGCAGTTGCGACTGCCAGGCTCCAAGAGACAGTTGGTTTTCAAGCTCTCACACAAGACAGACAAGCAGGAGTCCTGAGCAGACAAACTACTGTAGAAATAGTTCTCTGAATGTTAGAAAATATATGTGTAAAACCCAGTTCTGTTATGGATTGATGCTGAGTTGTGACTAAGAGCAGGATTTCTCTGCCCCGTCCCTTGATTCTGTCTCCCATGTGACTTTCTACCTCTGCCAAATGATGTCCTTTATGTCTAGGGGCCCATGGAACGCAGAACAGGGTTGAGCGCACAGCTCCCCCCACCCTCCGGGGCTTCAGTGGCTCCTCTTGGCCTCGTCATCTTTATCGCTTCCACTGAGCCTGTTTCATTAAAGACAAATCAAAACCCAACCACGCACATGCCCCTAGGGTACATACATTCAGTATCTTTAAACGGAAAATACAGACAGATGGTTTCTCTTGGGGTGGGGGGGGGAGATGCTAAATTTATATAATTTACATAAATTGCAGCAAGCAAAACTGACCTAATCACATCACAAGTTAAGCGGACCCTGCGGGAACATACATGGAACTTTGCTGTTCAACGCACCTGCTGCCTCTTTGAAATGAAGGGCCAATTAGAGCAAATAGAGGAGGTTAGAGAGGGTGGGTGTGGTTGGTGGGGAAACCCCACTCTTGGCCAAGGTGGCATTGCCAAGAAATGGCATCAGACATCCTCAGGTGGGCTGTCTAGACAACTGCAATGCTTCTGGGGGCAGTGAGGGAACCCAGAAGTGATGGAAGGCACTGTGAGGGACCAGGGGATACATGAGCAGTGCCTCATTCTACCTAAGGACAGCTTTGACCAAGGCTGAGAATCAGCCCGTGGGATAAACCCATGCCCAGGGTTTATGCACTGGGAAGGAAGAGAAGTGAGTTGTGATTGTGAACCCCTTCTCCATCCAAGTCCACAGATGCTGGGGCTATCCAGCATGCCATAGAATGTGGGCAAAGAGGCCTTCCAAAAAGCTACAACTTGAGAGACAACTGAGGAATGAATACATGTACCAGGGCAACAATAGCGCTGTACGTTAGCTGTCAAAAAACCTGCCATCTGATGTTGTTATTGTTCACAGCAAGATTTTAATTCTGTGCTATACCTTCATATGTGCTGGTAGACCACAGTGTAAACAGGAGGAGGAGAAGGATAAGAAGAAGAAGAAGAACCTACCATCTGTCTTCAGCCTAAGCTGTTTTAATGAAATATGAGTACATTATTTTTTAAAAACACATTTTGAAAACTCCTATGCTTGATGTGCTGCCTTTATGCAAAAGAAAATAAGAGACTCTTTTGACAAGTTCTCAGTGAGGAGGCTGGGAGAAATCTAATATTCAAGATGCAAGGTTCCTGACACTATACAAGAAGAAGCTGCACGGATAACAACTATCAGCATCATGCTTTTTGTTATCCCACATTTTACACTGAACACATGAGGCTGCCTTACGGTGAATCAGACCCTCGGTCCCGTGAGGTCAATACTGTCTACTCAGTCTGGCAGTGGCCCTCCAGGGTCTCGGGCAGAGGACTTTCACATCACCTGCTACCTGATCCTTTTAACTGGAGACACCAGGGATTGACGTGAGGAGTTTCTGCAGGCAGAGCAGGTGCTCTACCACTGAGCCACAGCCCCCCTCCCTCATTATTAAAAGGACCCTGAAGGAGTCACTCATGATGATGAGCCAATCCTCAGTGAAGGCAAAGAAGGAGGCAAAGAAGAGTGGAGTGGAATAATAAGATGCAGATGCTTGAAAAGCAGCAGCAGCAGCAGCAGCAGCTCAGGCTAGACTTGATAGAGGCCATCGGGTACCACAGCTGAGAAATCAGAACAAGCAGGGTTGCAAGACAACACAGAGACTAAGACATGCATCGCTTGCTGTCCACAACATTAAGTACTGATTTGCATGTATGAATGGAAGACTGCTTCTCTACAGATGAGGGAATTTTCTTCTGCTAGACTGGGTTCAGCAAATCAAGCTATGTTATTTTTAAAAATCCAGAAAATATTGTTTTGTAAGCCCATGTCTGAAATTCAGACTTCATCATGCTTTCAATGACATCCGTGCAATGGACTCAGAACCATAATATTCCTAATACATGGGATTCTGTCTTAAACATGCTCAGCAGCACCCTAAGTACAAGGTGCCTTGGGACTCTTATGGAAGCAGGAATGGAGGTCTTCCAGAAAGGGCATTAGCAATGATCTCTTTATGCTTATAGTGGGAAAATCACACCCAGCATTCCAGCAGCACTATTGGGGCTATGCGATTTCCCCACCCACTCCCTGTACATGAATTAATTGTTGTATGTCATGGGCACACACTGAATAATTCCTGGGGCAAGCAATATTCCCCTCTGCTCATACCATTTTGTGAGTATTTGAAATAGTCTATTTTTGCTGAGTGCGCCAGGTTAATGACATTCATTTATCAAGCACCATGGAACTCCGATCAGGAGCTCTGGAAGTCAGGTGTGGGTTTGTTGACACCTGTTGGTCAGAGGAGGGAACAGGAGGTAATTCAAGTTGGGATACTAATTCCATAGACTGGAATCAATCAGGTCATGGGAATCTAGCGGCCCAAGAAAGCCAGTCTGGTGTCACTGGCTGCTATGGAGTCCCAAGGCCTGCTGTACTCTTCTATCTGGGCAGCTTGGTGCTGAAGGAGGCCACCAGGTTAACCCTGTGTGCTGCCGGTCTGGCAGATCTTTCCCTGCTTCTTTCATGGAAAGGAGGTGTCCAAACAAGACCCCTCACTACAATGTCAAGATATAAGAATGGATGCTGAAAAGATTCCACATTTCATGGAAATAAAACAATTCCAGAAAAGCCAGTGGATGAAGGAAGAGAATATATCCGCTGTGTAGAATATCACTCACCTGTTGGAGAAGACTTTGCTGTAGTTGAACACTTGAATTTCCAACATCTCATTAACATCAATACTGCTGGCAATTGGCCACCGGAATGTCTGTGGAAAAATATCACCGGAAGTGTGAGGAGAGTTTGCCTCAGTCATACAGCGTATTAACTGTTGGGCATAACCCATAAACATCATAGTTTTCAAATATTTTAGGCCATCCTACCCAACTAGAATAGATCATGCATCTATAGTTCCACTACAAAAGTGTAAAATCAGGTATGCTGTTCAGAACTTGACATCCATTTTCATAAAGCAAAATTCTAGCCCTCACAATTTGTACACAATTTGCAGAAATTTGCATAAAATCTCACATAATTATGAAATAGAAAGAGACGGTGTGGTACAGAGGCTAGTGTTAGATTAGGATCTGTGCAAATAAACTTCTCTCCGTGAAACTGAAAGCTAGTGTGGCGTAGTGGTTAGAATATCCGAGTAGGATGTGGGAGACCCCAGGTTTGAATCCCCACTCTGTCATGAAAACTTGCCTGGGTAACCTTGGGCCAGTCACATACTCTCTGCATAACCTACCTCACAGGGCTGTTGTGAGGATAAAATGGAGGAGAGGGAAAGGATATAAGCAGTTTTGGGACCCTACCAAGGAGAAAGTTGGGATTTAAATGAAGTAGAATTAATAAATAAACTCTCTAGTGTCCTTGAGACAGTCAGTCTCTCTTTCTCTCAGCTCAAACTACCTACCTCACAGGGTTCTTGTAAGGATAAAGGAGGGAGGGAGGGAGAGAACCATGTATGCTAATAAAGAAGCAGGATGTTTTACCCACCCCATAGTATCTCCGAATGCTAATCTAAACATGGTATACAAGACTTCTCTTTGATATAGTCAGTTAAGCTACAAACCAGTATTTCAGGAGCACTGGCTATAAGTATTACTTGTGTATTATCAATACATTACACTAACTAAAGCAATTTTCTTAAAACAGGACAGTCACTTGCTCTATTCAGTTTCTGCTTGATTTTTGTTTCAACAATTGCATTGTGCTTTCATTCTATTTATTATCATTCCCACTTGCTTTCAGTATTACATTCATTTTAATTTCCACAGGTTTCAGTGGGGGGGGGGGAGGAGAAGGAGAAAAAGAAGAAGAATTAGAGTTATACCCCGCCCTTCACTGGGAGTCTCATTTCAGTTTGGTGTAGTGGTTAAGTGTGCGGACTCTAATCTGGGAGAACCGGGTTTGATTCCCCACTTGCACCTGCTGATGTGACCTTGGGTCAGTCACAAGCTCTGGCACAGCTGTCCTTGAAAAACAGCAGTTTGTGTCAGAGTTCTCTCAGCCCCACCCACCTCACAGGGTGTCTGTTGTGGGGAGGGGGAGGGAAAGGAGTTTGTAAGCCGCTCTGAGACTCCAAGTGAAGGGCGGGGTATAAATCCAATCTCCTCCTCCTCCTCCTCCTCCTCCTCCTCCTCCTCCTCCTCTTCTTCTTCTTCTTCTTCTCTCCTGCTCCTTCTGAACTCTCCTTGAACTTCTTCTGGGGCAAGATCTGTTTGACTTTGCTGGATGGAAAACTCCAATGTCAATATCATAACTTCTGTTCTCCCATGACATCCCAGAATGCTTTCACCTGACTGTTAGGCACCAAGGTAATGAATGTTGTTCTCCCCACTCATTTCAATTATCCTAACATATGTAATTAATGAAGTGTTTCCAGATGATTTGCCAATTGTTTTGAAAAAGAATACTCATCCCTATAAGTCAGTCTTTCGTACTCTGAAGCAAAGAGATCTGGACCTTTGGAATGAATGTCTAGTCCATCCAATAGACACTCAGATACAACATGTGAAAAGTAGGCATTTCTGGGGGATACTCATGAGGGATTCAGAAGATGGAAGCAGACATTGCAACAGCACTGAAAATGCTGTGGCTCTCTTTGACCTTTCTTCCTGGTAACATCTAATAAAGCACATCATTGTCCTACACATCTCTGTCACATCCTATGATAAGAAGGCAAGAATTGCTTTGCTGGATCAGTTTTTGGGCATAGTCATGCTCTAGTCTAGGTTCTGGTTTCCACCAGTAGCTATCAAATGTTCTGAGTAAGCACACAAGCAGAGCTAGAGGTGGGCTTGATGTAGGTGTACTTATGAGATTGCCTTCTTCATACTCACCCCCCCCCCAAGTAATGAGATTTCTGGGGAAAACACATAGCCCAAGTTACATTATACCAAGAAAAGAAAAGCATGTAAACATGGTAAATTGGGGGTGGGGGATCAGCCTATAGATGACACATCTGCTGTTTGTCAAAATGACCTGGCAATTGCCAGTTGACTGGGGATCAGTGGAGAATTTCCTCTGCTCTAACAGGCTCTAGTCTACCTGCCACCTTCCTTCCCTTCTGGGGCCTGGGTGGTTGACTAGATTGAACACTGCAAAATGTTCACATCTCTGCTCAGTATCCTGTGGGGGGGGCAGGGGTCATTTCCTGCAGGAGCGCAAAGGAGCGGAGCTCCGGCAGTAAAGAGCCCAGGGGGCGGGCACATGTGACAAGCCCCACCCCCTGCTCCCAGCAGCCCTCAGTCAGAGCAAGAAGCAGCCAGATAAGTTGCAGAGCCCCCCTGGTCCAAAACAGTCCAGTGGCACCTTTAAGACCAAGTTTTATTCAGGTACAAGCTCTCCGTCCTCTGCAAAGACAGATCTGCACGTCCCCCCCCTCCAATAACTAGCAATCCAAAACAGTCCAGTGGAGCCTGAGCGGTGGGTGTTGCCTTCTGACACACTTCCAGTGATGTCAGGGTGTGTGGCATATGCAAATAAGTTATGCTAATGAGTTATGCTAATGAGCTCCTGCACCTCTTTTTCTACGAAATGACCCCTGGTTGGGGGGATTCACGGATTTAGCCCAGCACCAGTGTTCTCTCTAAGCTGAGTTAGTGTGAGCTACCTCACAGTTTTTTAGCCTCCAGCTCACAGATTTTTGTCTTAGCTCAGGAAGGATGGCTCCCCAGCAAACTAATATATGCAGTAGCCAAGTCACTTGCTCACAACTTTAATGCCAGTAGCTCACAAAGTAGAATTTTTGCTCACAAGACTCCACAGCTTAGAGGGAAAACTGCCCAGCACCAGGACTCCTCTCGCCCTACAGATCTGCGCTGCTATGCTGTGGTGGCAACAAGCCAGTCTATCCCAGAGCATCATTTGCGGAGAGGATGTCTTGGGAAGCCGGCCACAGTCTGCAAGCTTTAAGCTGCTTGCTCTGACTCAGGGCATCAAAGTAGATCTCTCCAGGTCAAGACATACCGATCTGTGCCTTCCAGAAACAGAAGCTTCACACCCTGAAAAAAAGCAACTGGACCCATTTGTGCAAAATGAGTGTATGGATACCACTGTTATTTATTTGTCTCATTCTGGATATAGAAATTGTTTTTCTCTCGGCACCATTTAGAGCTTGGAGGTTACAAAATGTGGAGCTCGTCCTGACCTTCCTATATTGCAGAAGACAACGGGGCAATTATTTCCATCATTGCAGGGATTTTGAAAAGCAATACAGAATAAGCAATAACCTCACCATGATATTTCCTATAGCAACCAGGAGCCTAGAGGCACCTTAAAGATTTTTACGGAAGAAGCTTTTGTGGACAGGTGCCCACTTAAGACAGCTGCATGGAGTTATGACCCAGGGGAGCATGGATTGCTTTCTCATGACATGACATGTGTTAAGTTAATGTTCTCACCAACAACCAGGGGTCATTTCCTGCAGGAGCACACAGGAGCGGAGCTCCGGTAGTAAAGTGCCCGGGGCGGGGACATGCAACAAGCCCCGCCCCCTGCTCCCAGCAGCCCCGGACCACAAGAAGCAAGAAGCAGCCAGGTAAGTTGCAGAGCTCCCCCCCCCCGATAGCTATCCAAAACAGTCCAGCAGCACCTTTAAGGCCAAGTTTTATTCAGGTACAAGCTCTCCCTCCTCTGTGAGGGCAGATCTGCACACTTCCCCCCCACCCCCCATAGCTAGCAATCCAAAACAGTCCAGTGGAGCCTGAGCAGTGGGTGTTGCCTTCTGACACACTTCCAGTGATGTCAGGGGGTGTGGCATATGCAAATAAGTTATGCTAATGAGTTATGCTAATGAGCTCCTGCACCTCTTTTTCTGCGAAATGACCCTTGCCCACAACTGCTGTTGCAGTTGGTCCCTCTTTGCATATGAAAGTCCTTGGCTGTACCTCCTGATAATCAGGCACTTTTTAACTTCACTGCTTCCTTCTGGAGAGGCTCTTTGCTTTGGGGGGAGAAGCAAGTGGCTGCCTGGTAAGGCACTGGGGGATACCATAGCATCCATGGGCACCTTGCTGGAATAACTGGTTTATTCCAGTTCATGGTATACCACCAGAATTTCAGGCAGATCTATCCCAACTTTTGCTAATGGAGATTGAATCTGAGACTTTCTCCATGGTAAAGCATCTCCTCCATCACTGGGTCACAGCCTCCCCCGATATGACTCAGATGCACTGAGTCAGATGATTGGTCCTTCTACCTCTGTATTGATGTCTTTGACTTGCAGAGGTACTCCGGGGTTGTTCTCAACACCTGACCCAGAGCTTCTTTAGCAAAATGCTAGGGAC